GAAAAGGCATTTTCTACTTTATTTTATTTGCCTTACTGGAACAATAAGACATGTCTGGCCATATAAGTAGCAAATTTACTTAAGGAAAAAAAGTTAAACTATCGTGCAGAACCATAGTAATTCTCACATGGTCTCTTTTGGCAAAAAGTCAGAGGAGTCTATTTTTATATTGAATGGTTTCCTTTACCCAGCTGTACCATAAATTTCTTCAGAATTCCAAGTCATCTGTGAAAATCCCTGGCTATATAAAAAGAACAACAGAAAAATAAGCTAGATAAAAAAAGTTAAGCTATGTCTGTAGCAGTGATTTATAAGAAATATAGAATTACAGGAAAATAAGGTAAAGAGAATTTAACCAACCCTGGTGATATTTATTCCTTGTATTTAGTTTGAGGTTGTCCATTATCTTGGTAGTTCATTTCTGATCCATTGGAATGGTTATTCTGCTAGGTATTTTTCAAGAGTGCCATCAAGATGCAATTTGCAGTCATCCCCATGACAGAGGCACACAGCCACAGCACTGGAGTTAATTGCTGTTTAAATGTGATGTCTGTCGTGTGACACTGCTGGTAGCCAGATTTCATTTTTATTTTTAATTTTAGCTACAGTGTAGGATACTGTAGTTATAAATAATCAAGTATATCTGGTTTCAGTGTAAATACAGCTCTGCCTCCATGGCTGACACTGCTTGACATCAGTTAAATTAAAGGCTGACTGGGCTTGTCCCATCCACTGCCACCTTGAATCTGACCTCCAGCTCACAGATGAGACCTGCTGACAACTTAGCAGGGGGAGTTTGCATTGCTGTTGTCATGGATTGCCTGTCTGATAGCTTCAAAGGCAAATACACTTGAATGCTAAAAACAGTCTTTTCAAATGTATATGCCAAAATAGTAATTCAGCTGGGTAAATAAAACAGCAGTTTAAATGAATAAGTGTTATTTAGTTGATGAATATATGTTTGACTGAGTGATTGAAATGGCTCCCCTGGGTAAGATGAAGAAGTATGCTTTTAAAACTCTTTTGTAGATGTTTATAGAGAGAAAATGACAGGGAAAAAAAATCAAGTATCTATGGAGTTATGAGATAAACATAGAACTTTACAACAGTCACCCACAACAGAGAGAATGATCTTGGGATTCATTTGTTCACAGCTGTATGAGTGGTGTGGGTTAGTCTTTCTTCACAGATTTGTCAGTTTGTCACATCTGTAGCTTCACTTAAATGCAGTTGATGCTCTTTGAATGTGATCTGCAGTGGTCCATCAAATGGAAAAGCTTCTAAAAATAACTGGAGGGGAGTGAGTCAGGTGGCAAGATACATTCTCTGCATTAGGAGGTGAGGACTGAAGGGAGCTATAAAAAAGTTTGAGTCTCTAGTGACACGGTTTGCCAGTGAAGCTGTTAGTGCAGAAAAAGGCATTGCAAATACCAAAGTTAGGATGATGGTCTGCTTTTCAGGTCTAAAAAAACCTTTAGCCTATTAACTAAGGTAGACTCAGTGGTCATATCTACTTTGCATTGCTCTCTGTATTTATATCCTGGGGAGGAAGGAACATGAAGAGGCCAGTACTGAGACACCTCCTGTAATATTTATATTTACTGCTCTGCCTTCCTCATCTTCAAGGTGAGAACTGTTAATAATTCTGTCATTGTTAATAATTCTGTTTTACAAGTAGGCATCTGAGAGCAGCCAGATCATGACCAATCCAGGTGCACTGGCAGAATCAAAGCAAGGAGCAGAACCAAGGTGCTGTCACTGGTTTTGTGTCTCATACCAACAAGGGTAACTCAGCAGGAATTTATGACAGCATGATTCAATAATACATAATCTTTATGGTTTATTGATATCTTGTTGGACTTAAAACTTTATAAGTTGTTAGCTAAGCTTACAAATATGAAACCTAGATTTTAGTATAACTTCAAGCATTTCTAAGTTTTGTTATTACAGCACTGTAATGTAGCTCCATAAAAACAGGATGCCATGAATTAAATTCTTAAAAGCAAAAGGAAAGGATCCTTTCAGCATGCCAGAGGTGAGGCAGCAGCTGTTCCTTGTAGATGGGGCACAGGCTGGGTATAGAGCGTTCTGCACTACAGAAATACAAACTGAAAAGAGTCACCCATCTACCCCATTCTTTGCTGTGGATTAAATATAGCTTCATCACTTCTGAGGGTTGATCATCTAACCTGCTCTTAAAATCCTCTGCTGTGGTGAACCCCTGTCACAATTCCCTTCCCAGGGAGATTTTCCTAAGATGTTCCAGGAGGAGTGGTTTGGAGAACTAGAAACCAGGTCATTTGTGTTGTAGAGAAAAATAAAAGTGTATCTGTGGGGAGATGCTTCCAAGGACAATATCAAACTGAACAGAATCATTTCAGTGTTAAGAAAACCTGAATCAAGTCTCTGGGCTCAGTAATAACTACAAATTCAATTGTCTTATCTGCAGTTTTCACCAATTTTTATTTCACCCCGATAACTTCAACATTTTGATGAGAAATACAAAGGATTTGTCTACTAGTAATTTTTTTGAGGAAAGTCTGACATCCAATATATTTTTTTACCTTTGCATGCTGAAGTAGTATGAATGTAACTCTGTTTTTCCTGATGTCTGAAATTTTATTATTTTAGCTTAGTTGATATATTTGAGGATCCTTGAGTCCTGAAAAATGCCCTTTCCCAGAGAGAAATACAAAGCAGAATTTTGGATATTCAAAGGAAGCTGAGGCTAAATTTATCAAGAATTACTAAAACTTGATCCTCCACTAGAATTAAAATTCTTTACAAAGTTACAATTCTAGAGAATATATATATAATTAGCAAAAGCCATTGACAGTTTTGGAGTTGCTTTAATAGCCAGTGAAACTATGACTGCCAGCAGAAATTATTGTGGCCTTACCATTCACATGCTCCATACATTTGCTGCACTGGTAATAATGATAATTCCTGGAAATAGCTTTATCTTTGACTGGGGGGCTATGGATATATTGCTCCTGAAGAAGAATGTTCTTTAGAGTGTGTCAAGGAGTCTTTTGCAGATTAGATACAGTTGATGTTCATTAAAGAATGCTTCCAAAGAAATTATTTACAGCACGCTTTTTAATATTGAAAAAATATTCATAATTTATTACCATATGTTGGAATTGTGAAGTAAATGTAATGTTCTCAAAGGAGAAGGAGATGAAGGTGCCTGCAGTCTTTTTTGGACTTCCCATCTCTGGCAGTGATAGTATAACATGCCACAGGTGATTTTTGGTGTGTTCTCTGCCCCTGATTTTCCTCTCCATGTAGGTGGGTAAGAACTAATTTAAATTCTAGTGAGGTGGTGCCTGCCTTCATTGAGATAGGAACCTTGAGATGTCCTCTGTTGCAGTAATGCATTAGAAATTAAATCCTGTCGTTTCCATGAAGCAGGTCGTGTTTGGATCTGGTTGCTCTCTGTGGCTCTAAGGGCACATTGCTGAACACTCAGCCATTTTTCCTTTCTTTGCAGCCTCTTGTTGCAGCTTCTCCTGCTTTCTTTGTCAGTGATGTAATTGTAGACCCATTAACATAGAAAATGAAAAAACAAACAAGTTGCCAAAAACTGTATAGCAGTTGGTATTCAGAGCATTCTTTTACCATTTAAAAACACTGCCAACATTGTATCTGTTTCATTATGTACAAGTGTAAGTGCTGCTAACATAGATAATTTAGAATCTATAATTGAAACCATGCTTTTGCAGCTCTCTCAATTAAAGATAGTCAAGACAGAAAAGCTGTTATGTACTTACCTGCTGGAATTATATGTTCTTCTGTGCCATCCCATTACATTCATACCGTGCTGGAATGTATTTCAAAAGTAACTCGCCATTTATTGAATACAGCATTATACTTCATGGCAGAAAAACCCTCATGAAGTAAACACTGAGCTTTTTACAAACGCTGTCAGGTGGTATCAGAGGTATCACTACCATCCAGTCTATGGCAGTAGTGGTATTAGTGATACCTTTACATTTCTGTGATTGTCAACAGATATTTTCTGTGGTTTTCTGGTTTACTATAGTGTCTGTTGTAAGAATTTTTAAATGGATTTCTCACCATGTTGTTTGGGAATACAGAACACAAAACCAAGCATTGCTGCATATTGTAGCTTAAAAACACTGCTAACTCCATGTTCTGCACTCCATGTTTAAAATATGTGTAGCCTCAGAACCTGTTCGGTTGAGAACAGAAGGGATTTGCACCATATTTTAAGAGTTGACTATTTCATGGGCTGGAAGCCAGAGCACTCAACCAGAAAGGCCTTGTATCTTGTCTTCAATAATGCATGATGAAAAACCAACAAATGATGGATTTTAACTAACCACAGCACGAGGGAAAAAGACTTGCAGATAGGCCCTGCTTCAGGCAGAGAGAACTTCAAAAGCACTGCACTGAGTTGTGCTAACTCTGTTTCAAGGAGAAGATGCATGTTAGAGTACAGACATTGTCCTCTAAACCCTTTTGTGTGCATTTCATTTCTTCTGTCAACTCTCTTTTCTGTGACCTAAAGTCTATTGGGCTACTTCAGTGAAGAAAACAGTGGTAACAAAAATTTGCAATCAGTTCATTTAGACTGAAGTTACCCTTCAGTTCACCTTTCTGGCAATTTTTTATACCCCGGTTGTGTACAAGATGCAACTGAAAAGAGCACAGGGAGATTCACATGTGTTTAATTGACTCTGCTGTTGCTGTTTGATCAGTGAGGAGCAATCACAGAATTAAAGGGTTTGAGGGATGAGAAGATTGCTGATGCTCCACAGGAAAAAAAAAAAAAAAAAGGTTTGCAGAATTTTGCTTTAAATATAAGGGCCAAATTCTTACATACTGATTGAAACAGCAGGCAGATTGCATCAGAATAAGAAAGTTACAGTTTGATTTAAGAGGTGTCACTGGCACAGATGTTCATCTTGAATGATTAAACTACCTGTATTAAAACCAGTTATCTCATTTGATTTATATTTGCTTTTGTTTTATAGGACCATGGGTCACTAGGAATAGCAGCATAGATAGTGGAGAAACAGAAGTTGGCCACAGGGTCACCCAGGAGGTGCCCCCCGGAGTTTTTTGGAGGTCTCAGATCCATATCAGCCAGCCACAGTTCCTGAAGTTCAACATATCCTTAGGGAAGGATGCTCTTTTTGGTGTTTATATAAGAAGAGGACTCCCACCATCACATGCCCAGGTACTTTATCAATATATTTGTTGGCTTTGAATGTCAGAATGCAAAACTTAGGCCATCTTTGTTAGGTTTATGTTGGAGTTTACAGAATGCAAGCTTAGGGATTTCCTGAATTCCTTCATTTGTCATATTTGACTGAACCACCCTCATCTTAATATTTTTAGGTCGTTAAATGCTTCAGCAATACCTTTATTAAATAAGTAATTATGTCCTTGCCATTCATTCGAGGTTTTAATTCTCTTATATAATCTTGGCACAAACTGGGATAAAACTATCCTGTTATCTATGAGAAAAAAACTGATAAGTTGAGGACCAAAATCTTTAATCAAACTTGGGAGTAAAGGAGTGAGGAGGCTGATATGGGTTTATTACCTCTGCTTCTAAGAATTTGTGCAGAAGGAGCTTTGGCTGTGCAAAATTCATCAGCTTACTGTAGAAATCTGTCTTCCAATGTTCTGTGAGTTACTGAATGGGTGTGTTTGAGTGGTAAGAAATCAGGATCAGCAGTGCATGGGCCAAGGAGGGGAGCACATGGTCAGCTTTCCATGTCAGCATATGATGTTCTAAAATTTGATACAAAGACTGAAAAACTTGGGAAATTGCAGAGGGCTGTTGACTGATTTTCAGTCATTTCCAGCCATCCAGGCAACACAAAAAATATATCTTCAGAGAATATGTTCCAGGGTGGGAGCCTTTCTTAAGAATGTTTTGATTTTGGCTGTAAGGCTTCATTCAATATGCTGTCTTGAGGGTGAAATTATGTCTGTGGATCTTCAGCTGTTCCAGTGAGGCAATGGCATAATTCATTGCGCATGTCTCATTTAATTCAGAATTTTAGTGCTCACTTGCCCTATTCCATCATGAATAAAATGACAATTTAGTTGAGGAAAACAAACAAAAGTATAAATCATGAAATGAAAATTACTTAGGGCAACCAAAGCTCCGAAACAATCATCAAAGTTTGCTATAAATACAGGTTAATTTAAGTTTTTTGACTAAGATGTGAGGAAGGTATGCCTGTATCTTTTACAAGAAATCCAGTTGGAAGTAGTTGGTAGTACAATTTTTATTTTTTTTAAATTCAGGATGAACTTTATATTGCAGTATGATCCAATGTATTTGTTCTAGGTTTCATTATGATGCTCTCATCTAAGAAGGCTGTGATCAGGCAGTTTTTTTCCTTTCACTCCACCTCACATGGATAGAATAGAAATTTTGTGACCTTTCTGTTAAATTAAATAATGAGAAATATCATCTGTGTTTCCTCTTGAGCTGGATTCCTCCTTAGGGGACCTCCTTTCCAGTCTTCAGAGGAAGCAGTTGTAAACCTCTTCCTAAGTGGGGTTAATGAAACACGCTGTATATAAACTAGTGTAGATCTGGTCTGAATCTGCAATTTGAGCCAGCATAAACTTCCCACATTCAGGCAGGGTCTTGGTGCTTGTTAATAGGGTGCTGCAGCAGGAGGTTCCATGGCAGTTTTGCCCAGCAATCAAAATTCAGTCAAGCTGCTACCAAGAAAAGTTATTTTAGAATAAGAAATGCAAGCTGTTACAGACCTGAGTTAGTGAAAAGAAGCCTTGTTCTGACAGAAAGGAGCACAATACTTTTGTATGAATGAAAACAGCCTGAAGTTGACACCAGACGATATTTTAAAATTGAAATTTAAAATCCTTGTTTCTGTAGGTTAGGGACATGAGCTCTAAAGCAGTGAACAGCTTGACAGTTCATCACTGATCAGTGCTCATATGTCAAGCCGAGTAAAATCCTTTGTGGGAACAAGTCAATAATCAGCAAATTAGGTACATGATTAACCTGAGACAACAAGATGCAGTTCCTGTCTGAGAGCCCTGCTGAGATTTAACCTTCTCAGTATTACTGTTTAGCAAATATTCCAAATGCCTGGTTTAGTCAGTCAAACTGATGTAGCTGTAAACTTGTCTGGATGCAGCCTGTGTGCCGTGTGCATGGGGAATGGAGCTCTGGAGGAGAGGCAAAAATGCAGTTTTGAGTGGCAAGAAATGCAGTGCTTTTGGGCAAAATCCCTCCAACCTGTGTAGTGCTATGCAGAAATAACAAAATGCACATTGCAGGTTTGAATGATCAATAGGAATTTAGCAGAAGAGAGTCATACTAATAGAATTGATAATGTATAGAAAATGAACTGTAAATGTCAAATAATGCATGAAGCAACTCTGCAGAGCTTACAACAGTCATGCTGGTAGCACGTTCCAAATGATGCATGAAATGAGGTAACCTGAGAGGAACTTCCCTGGAATGTCTGGAGAAGGCAATGTGTGGGGTTGTATTGTTTTCATTTCCAGCAGCGTGGTTTATACTTATAAATTTTTCATGTCAAAATGAAAACTCTTTTCATTCAGCCCAGGAAATGGCTTTATTTGAAAAAAAAACCTTGGAGAGCAAGGGAGCATCAGTGTTCCCTTGGTTTTTAACAGGTGCTCAAACACTTTAGGTGCTCTGAGCACCTCAGAGTTGCCTGGTGGCCACGGGGCTGGCCTGAACTGGCTGGCTTGTGGCACATCCAAATGTGGGAACAAACCGGTTGGTTGGCTGCCATGGTGGGTGTCAGATGTTTCATGGCTGTATTTTAATGAATAATTACCAACTGGATTTTATGAAGAACTAATTTTAGAGCACTTTGCAAACAAGTTTCCCTGCCATATGTTTTCCTGGCTGCTTAGATCCTGCAGGGCTTTGGCATAAAGGCAAATGCTGGCCGCCACCCCAAGCATGCTCCCTCTCTCCTGTTGAATATGCACCCCCTATTGAGACAAGAGCTCTAGGAGATCATTCTTTTCAATTCCTAATCTCAAAAACTCCTAGGCATTTTGTGGAGGTATGCAAATTGTTTCAAATCTAAGAAAATCCCTGAATATTTTGATGGCCCTCTGCATTTCCAGTCCTGAGCCCTGAGAGCTCCCTCAGCTTCACAGTGGTCACAAGTGGTTCCCTTCCTCTGTGTGACTGGGCTCGGTGGCTCTGTGCAGTGCTGGAGTCACAACCATAGGTGTGAAAATGTTCTGCTGACTCCCCATGGTTACGGGAAAAGGAAAGTCTTTATTAGTCCATGAATAAAATGCATCAGAGGGTAGAAAGCCCTGAATGGAGAAATTATAAAAACAAATTGCTCAGAAAGAACTTAGCATGAGATTTTAGGTTTGTAAATAAAAGTAAGCAGTAGGATTTCAGTATGCTGGGTAGTAAAAATAAACAAATTCACCGAGAGAGTGAATTTGGAATTTGTTTAGCAATGTAGGCTGGCAAGTCACTCGCTTATATTGGGCTTTAATCATAGTAAGTACTCCCTGCTGCAAAATTGAACTCTGATGATGTAGTCATTTGGGATTTCTGCTGCATGTTGTTCCTCAGCTTTTTTAGCCATTTTTGTGATTTTCAGTATGAACCTATGACTATAAAGGATCGTAAAAAAAGAAAACAAAAAAGCCAAAAGTCAGTGAAACTTCCAAATTACTTCAGCAATTTAATTTGGTTTGACATGTCCATTCCCTAATTCATGTGATTTAGTGGCCTCTTCCCTAGCAGTTGTGTGTGTGTGTGTTAGACTAAGGATTCCACAGTTGCTTTTTAATGATCATGAAATTACTTGCCTCCTTTTCCTAGATGGGTTTTCTAATCTATTCATATATGCCAATAAGTAGCTTTAAAGCAAGAGTGATATCTTCAGCACAACATTACGTAAAAGTAATTAATCATGCAAGGGTGGTAAATCAGAAAATCAACAGGGCCGTGAAAAGTGAAATGATGATTCAGCCAAGCATGTGCTTATGAGTTTCTAGTGTCATCTTGGTGACCCTTCAGTCAGGGATTTTTGATTTTGGGGCACATATACCTCGTCCTTACTGACATATTAAGATTAATACACCCAGGGAACCACCAGCAGATATATTAACTTCCTTCATTTTTTTTTCCCTCAGTTTGAGAAATCCAAAGAGGGATAAAAATGTATTATTGTTTTCTGTATCACTTTGCACCAGTACTTCAGCATTCACAGAGTTATCCAGATTCAGTAATTTTGCTTTTGCCTGGGCATTAAATTATTTGTCCTAGTTTGATTAAAAAGGGGCAATACCACTCTTAACTGTACCAAAGTTAAAATCGTTGTGCCAAGGGACCTGCTCTCACTAGGTCACACCCCATCATCATGAAAAGAGATTCTGCAGCTAAAACTACTTCAAGCAGCTTCAGGCTGAAAACTCTTCCCCTTCGATCTGGCCAACTGCTGAGCCTTCTCTACTATATGAGGTGGAATCAGCATCAAACAGAGGGAGGCAGAGGAACCTGCCAGCACAAGCAGAGACGAACAGCATGTTGCCAGTGAGAAATGTCAGCTTTTATTGCTGCTTCCTCAGTTGACCCTTTGTGAACAATTGTTCTGAAGAGCACAATTTCTTTTTCCCAAGATGTTGCCCAAGTAATAACATTTCCCAAGGAGGTGATGAGTCTGTCCTTAACCTCTGACTGTTAGACAATGGCTTTTAGCAATCTTTCCAAATGCCATTGATTTCAGAGATAGAAATATGTGTGTTTGGTACCTCACATATGCTGAAAGTTACTGGCATGCCAGAATTCTCTAAATCTCTGGCATGCTTTGCCTGAATTTTATTAATTTATCTGATTTACCTTTTCCCATTTAAATCATATGTGGAAAAAGGCTCAAGTGGATGGCAATCTGATATTGAGTGAAACTCTTTTATTCCACTTCTCTTACTTTGTCCCTTATTTAAAAGCACAGAATCATGGATAGAGAGCATAATGCACTCACTGTGATGATAGCTCTCAACATTAGTAGATTGGGGATCTAATTCCTCCCTGCCCTGGATTTCCTTTGTGGAAAGGCTGCAGGTCAGTGTCAGTTCCACAGTTTATCAGGAAGACAATAGTTCTTCCAGACATTTCCCTTTGTTGTAAGGCTGAGCATACCAGGGCTCCATAATGCTGGTACATAAGAGATTTTCAGCTAGAAAGGTGAGGTTTTATACCCCAGTTTTGGATAGATGTGATGGCACTAGAGTGTTAATTTTGTCTGTCTCTTCCCCTAATAGAGAGAATCTTCATTATTTTATCACAAATTGTGAATAATTTACTAGGGCTCACAGTTCCTGAGTGGAATACAGTGTGCAAAACTGTGTGTGTGTCCTTCTCTGGATGTTTGTTCTATTTAGGAGGCAAGGTTGCAGTTTTCTGTTTAAAGTGAAAGCAAGGGAAGGTGGATGTTTTCTCATAGCTGTTGTGGGCACATCCTGGAAGTGGTAGAGATAACAGAGGGAAATGTAATGAAGCTACTGGGAAAGCAAGCACATACTATTACTGTATTTTATTGAACACATGCATCTTTCTTTAGACATGTCTATCTATCTCTATCTACTCCTACACAGATAAATGTGTCTAAAACAAGATGTGTTTTCATAGGGGACTTGTTATGCAGCCATCAAAAGATTAGATGTATTGTTTTTGGTGTTTCTTAAGGGCTTCCCTTAGATAGGGACTATGAGATCTACTCAGTTGAGCTTGAGAGCTCCAGAATCACAGACATTAATGACAGAAAAAAAGCCTATTAGGACAGCTATCCCAGCTGCTTTGTTATGCAGAGTTATTCCCTGTTGTAGACTAACCAATATTTCTTCCAGTCTTGTTTAATTGTGGCATCTCCATTGGGAGGCTATTTACTGAGCTTAATAGATGGGAAGCTTATCTGACATTCATCTTAAATTTCTTTCTTTCTTTTTTTAGTTTCATGCCATTAATGGTGCCATCGCTCTTATGTTCTAAATAATCACTTGCTCTGTTTGATCCCTTTTCCAAAGATTAATGCAATGTTCTACCTTCTTTGGAAGCCATCCAAACAGAAATTCTCAGTTTTCCTTAATATAAGTTCAATTCCCTTATTTGTGTTATTCCTTTCCATGCTCCCTCTGGTTTTTGTATCACACTTGCCCTGATTGTTCCACACACAACCTCAGGTAAGCAACTTTTACTCTGTAATGTAAAACTTGTACAGTTTATTTTTATCTGGTCGTGAGGTACATTAGACAAACGCATTTCCTGTCTGTGCTATTCCTGTTTCACATTCTGGGGTCTTCCATTCAATTGTATGTCTGGAGTTACACCTCAGATATCTGTTCCTGTTTCAAAAAGAATTTATTCCAGCCAATTGCTTAGAAAAGGGAGTGGGTTTTCTGAGTCTCTGAAAACTGTGTAGGAACCTAACCTAATGGGTCAAATAATGGATTTTAAATTGTTTCTCAAAAACCATTCTGTCAATTTGTACATTTTATGATCACCAATGCAGGGGAAAGATGCATAATTCTAGGTCACTGTTTAAGAAAGAGTAAAAGTCACAGAATCTCTTTGTGTTCCATGGTCAGCTAATAAATGTTAGTTTCACATTTCTTCCAGAAACACTATTTTATAACAAGGTAGAAGAGAAAATAGAGTCAGATTCTTGAGCTGAACCATTCTATATTCAGGTCTGTTTGTCTGGGGTTTTGTTTTGTTTGTGTTCTCTTTTTTTTTCCCTTTGTTTTTTTTTCTTTTCCCTCCCTGCAGTATGATTTCATGGAACGTTTGGATGGCAAAGAGAAGTGGAGCGTGGTGGAGTCCCCGCGGGAGCGCCGCAGCGTCCAGACGCTGGTTCAGAACGAGGCCGTGTTCGTGCAGTACCTGGACGTGGGCTTGTGGCACCTGGCCTTCTACAACGACGGCAAGGACAAAGAGGTGGTCTCCTTCAGCACGGTCATTCTGGGTAGGTGCTTCCACCAGATGGGCACTTTTTCCTTCTGTTTATACCCTCCCTTACCCACGGTTGGAATATTTTCCTGCAGTCCTCAGTATTTGGCCTGTTTGTCCTTATGTGATGCTGTGCATTTTTTGACTCAACACTACTCTGGCAAAGAGTCAGTAAGGGGGTGTGCTGACATTAATTCACTCATTATTTGCTGAATATTTTAGCAGTCCCATTGATCTCTAGTTTGGTTTTGGAAAACAAGGTTCAGAAAATTCAGTGTGGTTTGAAGCATTCCCCAGCTAATATTCCTCTCCCTTATCTCTGTCATTTTGATACTCTTTATTTGCTGCTCTGAAGATGTTTCTTTACACCCAGGTGGAATAGTATCCAACAGGAGAGCTGTCTAATCTTGGTGGAAAGACAGCTCAAGAAACTGATACCTGCAAATGAGATTATTGTTTGCAGCCATCCTAGAGATTAATTGAGCCAGTTAATTAACTGTATGTTGCTTTACAGCTTACCACTCACCTAACAGTGAGTCATCTCCTCAACGTGGTGGAAGAACATCCAGCTGCAGTTTTGTTAGAACAGGATTACATTCAGTTGAGAATCAAACTGAGTCTAAATTCTCCAACCTTTATTAGATTTGTTGTCCTTTGAAGCTCATAATGAACTTTGCTGACTGTCTTTTCGCAGTGGTGTGACAAATTCTGAGGTATCATACCTTTGTGATACTCTGTCCTCTCTGGTGAAGTCTGAAATAGCACTGTGTTGTATAAATCTGTAATTCTTCTTAGTTCAGGGAAACTGTAAGAAGTAAAAATGAGGTTTTAGATTTGATGAAAAATAGTCAGAGGTGTTTTCTAGTCTTTATTAATAATATGTAGCTTAAGGGTTTTTTTTTCCTTTTACATTAGTATAGCATTCAGTTTGTTGGCCTAAGTTCCAAAGGGTGTAGGTGAATAATCAAGACTATCATTGAGTACAAACATGATTTGTATATATAACTTCTGTTACCCTGAACTAGGATGGAAAAAATACCTTTCTATGAATGTTGAAAAATCAACATATATGTATATATATATATATGTAGTGGTTCCACAAACTTATCAATTACACAAAAAGCTTTTGTATCACTTCTATAAATTCCTCCCCTGCCAAACCATGACATTATATATTTCTTTTTTCATTATTTTCCCATAGAAGGCTTTTTCCACTTCTCTAAAAACAAGAATATTTGTGCTCATATCTTGTTATGCCCCTGTTGTGCTTAGAAAACCTTAGGATATTATAAGCTGCCCTTTAAAGGGTTGCCTGGTCAAGGCTATAGCTTTCAAGAGCATCAAAGGTGTAATAGCCAGGTAGGCTACTTGATAGAGCAATGATAGTAATTGAAATGAAATCTGGAGAAAAATATAGTGTTTTATCTGGCTCTACACACACCTTGTATCAGATGCTTCATAATGAAAGGCTCTGAGACAGCTGAACATCTCTCTGGTGTAGAAGAGAAGGAAGAATAACAGAATTTATGTTAACTCCCAGACAATACTAAATTTACCATGATTTTTAATACATAGAGAATGCTTTCGTGTGCCATGAAGCAAAATAATGAATAAATCTATAAACAAGGTTCTTCATGAGACAAATTGATATCTTTGAGCATTACATTTCAATTTTTCTTTTCTTTGTTTACATTACTCATTTCAAGAGCCCAAGCTAATGACATCTCTTTAAAAATTTGCTTTAGACATTTTGTATTTGGTGTCCTGCAACTGTGAAATTAGATTTAAAGTTCTACTTGAATCCTTTTCTTCTTTGCAGTTTAATTTGTCAAATAAAAATACTCTCTATAGTTCTGCTAGTTCCAAATCCAAATTCTCTTTTCTGTGTTGTACAGCAGCTTGATTTGGTGCCTGGGGCTGACAGAACCATTTAGTTTGGAACCACAGATCCCACAACAACAGAGAGTGATAGTGAAGAGTAATATTCCAATTAGATTTTTGTTCCAATAATTCACTGTTGAAAATATGTTCTGCTGAAATCCAACAGCTTTCACATTAAAATAACTTTAAGAATTAATTTCAAAAATTGAATTTTATTTTTAGATTGTTATTATGCAAAGTAAGGTATGCTTTACCCAAATGATAACAGAAATTGTGGAAAAAAAGTATTTTGCTACAGCTGAAATGTTATCAGACTCTTATATTATTGAAGTCATCAACATTTCAGTCAGTCACTCAAACTCTGATAGTAAACTTTGTCCTCTGTTTTTACAGAACTCTTTTTGTCCTCTTGCACAGCCACCTGCATCTTTTTAATTCATTTCTTTAAGGATCAAGTAGATTTGCCAGAGCAAAAGATCTCCTCTTTGTCATGTTCAGCAGATATTTTTGTCAGGTTAATCAATGAGGCTTTAAATGCCTGCAGAAGGAAAAGAAGACACAGTCCTTGGGATAATCAGTTTCCCATGGCAGAGTGGCTGAGCAAGAGCAGTCTCATTGCAAAAGGGAGAGCGTTGATTTTCCTGAGGAAGCATTGTGTTTGCTGTACAATATAAACTCAAGCATGGCTGTAGAGGTCTTAAGAAGTCCTGCCTATTTTTGGAACAGAGGATTTGAGCATTATCAGAAGACTTTGGGTTCTAATAAAGCCCAGAACTTAACATGTGACTTCAGTATGTCACTAGATCTCTACATGTACTCATACTCTCATGAAATTCTGTGCATTCTTCTTCACCTGAACCTTGTGCTGCTAATATTGTTAGGGGTTATACTTCTAAGTATTGAGGACAAATTAAAATGGAGAAAAAAGAAAGAAAAATCTGTAGCCTAAGTAGGAACTAACCAATTAATGTGCTTGTGATGCTTTAATTTCAGACTCAGTGCAAGACTGCCCACGCCATTGCCATGGGAATGGCGAGTGTGTCTCAGGTGTCTGCCACTGTTTTCCAGGATTTCATGGAGCAGATTGTGCTAAAGGTATCATTTTCCCTATATTTACAAATAACCACAGTGTGTGTCTGTCACCTATTGATCTACAATGCCTGCTAGCTAGCATGGGTCTGAGCTAGATTCAAATAGAACAATTTGCTTATGTTATTCTTAGATATCGAGTTAAAAACTTTCAAGAGGAAGTATTCCACCTTTCCAATGAGCTTGCATAGCTACATCCTTTTTTTGTGGCAAGGGTAGTAGACAGAAATGGCAGAAAATATTTATTTTCTGGAAAAGTGGATGAATTATCAATGCTTTCTGATTATCATTAGCTGGTCTGCAAGAAAAGACTGATTGTCTTCATTGATAGAGTGTAGTACATATTCTGGCTTGCCTGAGCCTTACTTCTAGTACAAAGCATCTTTCTTGCATATAAAATTACTCTTTGACCAAAGGAATTTTGCCTTTTGTAGAAAAATAGGTAGGAGCTGATAAAATCTTAAAATAAACATTTTCTGAAATGTCAGTTGTAAATTTTAACAGCTAAAACTGGGAAATACACCGCTATCAAGGATTAAGTAGAAATCTAAATGACGTCTATGGATTGGCAGTATGTGTTCATTAAGTTTTTCTTAGAGTTTTGGATAACAGTCTTAGGGAAAGGATTCATAAAGGGGGACTTCTTTAGTTTATACAGCCAGCAGCAGATATGTTGTCTAAACTCAGTGGCTTGGTTGTATTCCCCTCTGCTCCTGAGCACACTCAGAACATTTTACAGTTTGCTTCCTTCTTAGTTTGTGTGAGATTTAAGCACACTATCAATATCAGTTGTTTTCCAGAGGGTTGTTAGTGTTCCAAGGGGGAAAGCCTGGTGTTGGAAAGCTTTTTGAAATAACTTGAAGGGCCTTAGAAATTTGCTCATTTCTTCTTAGACTCCTGATGCAGTCGTGAGGAGAGTTCATTGTGCTCCACCTCTGTCACTGCTGTGGCATATCCATGTGTCTATGAAATACTCCTTGAGTAGCTGCTATAGTTTTACTGGAGTGAGTAATTTCTGAGTTTTGTCTCCACATTCGGCTCTTGAAGGTGCCCCAGTAAAAAAAAAAAAAAAAAAAAAAAAAAAAAAAAAAAAAAAAAAAAAAAAAAAAAAAAAAAACAACGAGAAATAGAGACCCCAAGGGCCTTGAAAAGCTAAGCCTGCTATTTCAGTGTTCACCCTGCTCATTCTACAGAACATTACAGAACATTCAAATAGTTGTTTGATTACCTGAGAAATTAAGACAGCTGGTAAATCTAGAGAGGAGATATCTGTATTGCACAAAGTAAATGGTGTGATAATGTGAGCTATAAATGCAGACTGACAGCTCTGTGCTTTTCTGTGGTGTTAACCTGTGAAAGTATGCATGCAGTGACTGTGTGCTTCACTGCCACCCTTCACACATACATGGCCATTATGTCAACTCATTTGCATTTTGAGTTGTGCAGCAATCCTGCATTGTCTACTGAACCTCTGTGTAGCACTGTATGCTGTGTTAGTGCTAGAAAATACTTCGTTCAGGCTGTGACAGATAAATAGCTTTTGAATAGGGTGCTTGTCAAACTATTTGTCAGGCTTCTCCTACCCCTCAGTGCATTCCCTCTGCTTCCTGCTTTGTCCTTTCTGTGTTGTCTCTTTCCCCTCAAAAGCATAAATGGTTTCATGGAAGCTTCCTTCAACTCTGGTACTGTTTTCTTGTCAGACATCAGGGTATTTCTAAAGAACAAAGAAGCTTGAAAAACTGCACAAGATGAGAACATGGGCGTGTTGACAGAACTCGTGTTTCTGTGCTGGAACAACTGCACAGCTTTACCCTGAAAGCTGGGTGTAAGGGCTTTTTGCCTCACCTCTTTCATGCCTGTCCTCATAGCCACAGGCTTTTCTGCTTACTTGCATTCTCTTCATATGTGAGAGCAGTTTCAGAACACAGAAATCAAAATTGGAATTCTATGCAGGGGAAAGCACAGTAAAATGAGATACAGAATTACATCTTTTACATACATATTACATGTATGGACACATGTTTAATGTATATCTACTATATTGTTAAATTTATACTGTCATGAGTATGGAAAGATGATAGTTTTTTTCAATTTGATTTTTTCAATTATTTCCCTAGCAATGCATCTTTCAATATCATTTCTCCACCATAAAATCAGTTGAGGCAAGACTCAAATAGAGAAATGTGGAGAAAACGTGAGCAAGCTCCTCAGATGGCTTTTAGAACTTGGTCCATGCAGTAACAGCAGTCTGAGAACTTCCCTTTTGTGTGAACCCCAGTCTGACAGATAGGAAACACAATCCTTTATCCCAGGGCTGATCCTGAGGCCATCAGAGGCAGTGAGACATCAGGGGAGTCTCTGCAAACCATTTGCAGGCAGTGCACAGGGACCCCTCCACCCACGTGGCTCTAAAAGATAAAAATGAAGGAAAGCTGTGAGACACAGCACAGATTTGACTTCAGATCCATTAGCTTCAAGAGAACACTATGAAAATTATTGGAAAGAGATGAGCTTTTAGCCCAACCCACGGGGTGTAACACACTTTCATACCCTGATTGAAATGGAACAAACTTCACCCTCTCAAACACTCCTGCCAAACACTGTGTGGGGTATTTCTCATTCTCATTCTGTGGAAATAGCTTATTATCCGGTATTCAGTATCAGCAGATTTACTCCATTCTTGCTTAGGCAAGATTCCCTTTGGAGTTTATCCTTATTAAGGCTAAAGAATTTCATCTAACATACAAAAAAGGTAATGATACATTTTGATCTCATGTGGATAAGATATGGCATACAAAGAAAAAGAAAATCTGATAATCAAAGGATAATTCCATGCAGAGATGTGTCCTGATAAAGCAAGTGTGTACAGTTAAAGCCAGTGGAAGATTTGCTGTGAATTGAACTGCGCTGTGAGTAACCTCTTGTCCACAATTACGTGTAGGAGCTATTGGTGAAAAGTGATTCTCTGGCCAAGGATCAATTAAAGAATCAGACATGCAGCTGTGATTATTGTAATTTTTTGGTGTATTGCACCTTTTTCTATTCATCTCTATTTTTCTGTAAGCTCTGTGATATAACCACTGAAGTATATCAAGAAGTCCTTCTTGCTTAGAATTCTTGCTGTTCATGTCTGATCATAGTTTGGATTTTCAAGGTCCGTGGTGAATCTGCAGCAGGCATCCTTCAGCATGTCCTGCCTTCCACCACCTGGGAATGGAGAGAAGTGCTACAATGAGCTGAGCTCTAGAAGTGACTCAGACTTGGCTATAATTTCATTTCATCTCATAAGATATTTGAAGGGCATGCAACTCTTCCACTCCTTTAACAAAACCACTTCCAAAGACTCTGTCAAATACTGTTTTGCAACTGTGAGCAGAGCCTCCTTTAATTTTGCATTTTAAAATACTTGGATTTGCATCATAAGCATCTTTAGCTAATCTGAAAAGGTGAACAATGCACCATCACATAGGATTTCTACATTGATATGATGAGCATAGCCTGCTAAGAGATGGTGTCCAATTTGTGAAAGAAGGACAAAAATGGAGTCAAGTAGCTTATGTCAACTGCCATGAAGTTGCCATTTAGCAGATACTTCTAGTTGATTATGCAATGTAATAAGAAACATGTTTAATATTTTAATCTAAATGAAATGAAGGCTTTGGGATTTTTTTTAAACCAGAAATTTGTGCGATGTTTGATCAGTTGACTTTTTAATCTGATTTTAAGAACTCTAATTATTCAGATTTATGTTATTCACAATTTCTTTTCCTGTTCTCCTTGTGTGGGTTTTTCATTATTTTATTTTCATTCTGTTTGTTTTTGGCTTACTGGCAAAGGACGGCGCCACTTTAATAAGTATAAAAAGAAGGGTAGGTTTTTTTAAATTTCTTTTTATTTCTTTTGCAACATCTATTTAGTTTGAAATAGTTACAAAGCTGTAACATGTAGTCTCTCTTTAAATTTATTCTAATGGATTTGCTGTTTGCACCACAGTAAGAATTCCTACCATTGCCATTTTCTTTGTTATGTGTGGGCTATTAATCTCTGTATAAAAAATGTAAAAAGCTGTCAATTATTAGGTAAGTAAGGTATAATTACTAGAAATAGCAACTCTTGCATTTTTTCAGTTGTTATCTAATTTCAGTTGTTTGAGACTCATCTTGATCTGAGGCCTTTCAGAGGCTTCTTGCTTTGACAACAGTGCAGAAAGTAATGTTTTTTCATCCATTGAATACACTGCTTGAAACTGCTGTCTTTGTGCCACATCCAGAATGCTCCCAGTGGCATACAATGTTCTGAGAGTGATTGCGACAGAGAAAACATTAAATTTTGGGGTGCATCCTGCAGAATAACTCAGTACTTGGTTCATTGCTGTAGAGCACATGGCCCGCAGGAATGAATGGTGTCCAGCTGGTAATGTATAGGAGTGTATATTTCCTCTCTGTGTAAGTCAGGGAAACACTATTTGCCATCAGAACTTGGCCTGAAATTTTAGGTACTGGAAATAGCATAAGCAGACAGAAGCTGCCTGGACTCTGAAGGAAAAGGTGAGGGGATGCTGAATCCCCTTTTTCCTCTGCCTGCTCTGCACGTGGCCATCTTCTCACAGAGGAGATGGAAGCTGAGGTGAGGCAGCACTTTGAGCCTCCCGTGGCACAGTCAAACTGGGGAAAGGGTCTTGAACTGTTCAAGTGGCTCCCTGCAAATGCAGTACCAGGTTATGGATCAGACAAGTGAGGGGGAGTGGATCAAACATGGTGATGCCATCACCAGATGGGTTTGCAGAGCAAACAGCTGGAAAGGAACAGCAGTGTAGGAAAAGTGCCAGGTTTGTGACATTATTACAATATTGTCCTGAGCAATAACATAAGTTAATGGTGACCTGTTATGGTTAATCCTTTACACACAAATCAAGTAAATAAATGCAGCACCTGACTCCAGGAATGTACCTCCTCAATGCAAGTTTGAAGGGACAATTGACCCTTCAGATATGAAGATACAGGAAA